CTAATTCTTTTCCTGTGAGTGGAAATGTGCAACCCACTCAGCAGTGTATGGGTTTACCAGCTCAGTCAGTGTCGGATAGAATGAAACTTCCTGCTCCACCACTATTAGCACCTCCAGCTTCTGTTCCACCTTCTTATGCTAATTTTATACCACCTGCTCCATTACCAAGTTCAATGTCTCCAGCCTCAACTGGAAGTCCGGCTTTTGTACCTCCATTACCAGGTGCACCTGCTGTGCCCTCGTTTTCTTCAAACGTAGGTTCATTCCCTAGTGCTTTCCCTTTGCGCCCCAATCAGAATGTCGCTGCTTCAAATGGTGGTGTTTACCCTACCAGTACGAGAGTTTCTCAACCTTATGGAGAACGTTTTCCTCCGCCCAGTTCATTTGCGCTGAACGAACAAAGGGGAACAGCTGCCCCTGTCCCTCGAAATCTGTTAGGTGAAAATTATTTGAAGGAACAGTCACTCTCTGAAGTTCCTCATTCTTCGTCTTCTCATCCCGTGATTGATGCTTCCGCAGCATCACTCCCTCAGCCACCGAGTAATTCAAAGCCGAGCGGATTTCCATCAATGCCTAATGGATGTTCTAACAATCAGAGTAATTTTCCTCCGCTTCCTCAGCCAAATCAATTGCATCAAAGTGCATATCCAACATATCGGTATGGCAGTCCAGGTAATTATCCCTCGCAAGTGGCTGGACTGCAACAGGATTTTCAACAAATGGTTTCTTCTTGAGTTTTTTTATCTTAGCCGTAGTCTGATCCAGTTCATCTATCAATGTTTGTTCAATCATATAATTGACAGTTGATAATTTAATTGGTTTTTACCACGAAGAGGTTGTTGTGATAAGAAAGAGATTTGCAAGTTATCTATAACTGGAATTTTAAAATTTTTGTTATAGTATTTTGCTTTTTAGGGGTTTGGTAGCCATCAGCAACCTCCATTTATTGACCTAATGCAGGACAGAGAGTTGTTCAGATTTGGCACTGATGAACAAGAAGTTGAGCTGCCGCACACAGTGTGCAGTCCGAATGTACGTTGCAATCCTAGGTAAAGTTTATTTTGAGCTTTGCTAAGATCTGTAACTTGAGTTATGTTCTTATTTCGTTCTTCAACTTATAGCATATTTCGCTGTACTCTAAAGCAAATTCCTCAAAATGAAGAACTCTTGAATAAATCTCGTCTTCCTTTTGGATTGACACTACATCCTTTCAGAGATATAAAGGTATTCTGCTATAATTTCATCTGCAAAATATTTCTTCAAATTGTCTTGCGTTTTTTTTTTTAAATTTAACCGGAAAGGCAATTTATTTTTAACCAGAATTTGAGCGTAATTCAAACATCGACAATCGTTCGCTGCCGGTACTGCAGGACTTACATTAATCCATATGTCTACTTGATAGATAACAGGCACTGGAAGTGCAACTTGTGTTTCAGATCGAATGACCGTTAGTTCATCTACTTATAATTTTTCTCTTTAGTTTTTGGAATGGCTGATATATAGGCTTGCTGGAAATTTCATACTGAACCATTAACAACATGAAACTTTTCTTGTTCTGCACAGATATAATGTGACCAGAAAGTTTAGTCTTTATTTGTTGGGTTGTCTGTAGTATTTGAACTGAAAAATTGTTGGGGCGGTATATTTTGGCCCGGCGACTTCGGATACTCTTTGGAAAGGGTTTATTAAATCTTTATCTTCTACCCACTTAATATTTTTTATTTTCATTTCTTACAGCTGCAGGTTGTTTCAGTAAAAATAATTTGAATTATGGGGCAGGCGAATTGTGATTTCATTTGCCCACATATATACGTGTTTTCTTTTTGTTTTCTAAGGATATGGGACGATGTTTTTAAGTTAATTTTTTTTGCAGATTTTTTTACGCGCAGTTTAAACTTTCTGTGATTTTTTTGTAGGTGAGTGGTGAATTTTTTGAGGCACATATCAAAATATATGATTTAATAAATTTCTGCATAGGTGCTCTGGACTCTGTGGAAAGCGGGATATCAAGGAGAAAACTTAGTAAAATTTTTTAGGAAAGCTAATCATGTAGAGGAAGGAAAGAAATAAAGTTTTAGCAAAAACTAGTTTTTGGCTCTCATCGAACCAGTTTTGTTTTCAGCTGATATCGCTAGAGGGATATCAGTTTAGCAGGGAAGAGGTTTTACTTTATATTGGGACAGAGCACATCTTTATTGTAATGAATTAGAAAGCAGTGAAAATAGGTGGTTTAGAACATGTGTGATTTATTTGTGATGTCATCACTAGGTAATTCTGATAACTTTTGTAGTGCCAGATGATTTCAACTGGGATCCGACGTCAGGGACTTTTGCTGAACCTACACGTCGGCCAGAAATCAGAAATGCTACAGTAGAATTTATAGCGCCTCCTGAATACATGGTATTTATTTAAAGTTTCCTGTGTTTATCATTTATGAATTATCAATGTTTAAAGGTAAATGAGAATATATGATTTCAGTTACGTCCTCCGCAGCCAGCTGTCTACGTGTTCATTATTGACGTTTCTCATAATGCTATCGAATCAGGTCTGCATTTAGATATTTTTTCCATTTAATTAAAATTTATTTGTTTGAGGTCTATGGTTGAATTATTTTTCAATTTAACAGGTTCAGCTTTTAAATTTTTTCGTTTACTATTTTTTGATTCGTCTTGTCGACGGAATTTGTTTTATAGGGTACTTATATACTTTCTCAGAGCAGTTGCTGTTGGCTCTAGATCGTCTACCCGGTGACGATAGAACGTCGTTAAGTTTTATTGCAGTTGACCAATCTATCCACTTCTTCCAATTTCAAGGGAAATCTGTTCCAAGGCAGTTGATTATTGATGATTTTGAAGG